GCCACCTTACGAAGAAGAATTGCATAACTCTGATCTAGAGCAAAACAGTGGAACCCATGGATAGACCCTAGATCTTTGTTTGAGAATATCTACCCAAGACTTTTATGGACTTCCAGTGTAAGACCAGTCTTCAGAAGGATGTAATGTGGCAGTTTTCCCATACAGGCACTGTAATGTGCATAGTGCTTCTACTACATGGAACTTTCTTAGGCAGAGATATCTGTTCCGTTAGCCACCACTTGGAAGTGGTTTCTGGTTTTGTGTTGGCCTCTCTGTGAGACCCAGTGCATGATAATTGTCCTTAATTAATAACCAGATGGGTGGGGGAAAGCACCAAGAAAAAAAGTATGCAGTGAACAGATGTAACAGAGAAATCATATCCTTCACTTTTGGTAAGCTGTGCACCTCAGAGACAGGTTGTGTTCAGCCCTTGGTCTCCCATTTTCACTGTAAGGGACTGATGCTGAATATATACATTCATTGTGGCATTTGCTGAATTAAAAGGAATATGCTAGAGGTATTTGAAACTGTGCATATATGTATATATGCCTTAATTCATGCAGTGTATCTGAAGATATGAAGTTCGTATTTCAGGATGTCTAACTTGGGGGCCATGTCTGGTCCTCCCAGAATCTGAATCTGGCCCTCCGTGTTCCCCGGGTGAACCCACCCTGGTTTCTTTCTTTTGCCTCACTGATCACTTGCTGATTTCCTGGCTTTTGTGTAGCTGCTTCATCATCCTACAAGGTTGAAATCCCTCTCCTACAGCTCAATTATTGCAGGAGGAGCTTTAAGCTAAAGATGCTGTTATTTGTGGGGCACTATCATTTATAGTAATATAATGCAGTCCTCAAAAATTTCTCTGAAGGGGAGTTTGTTCTCTGGGCGAGCAGAGCAGCACAACTCTCAAAAGTAGGTGAAAAAATATTTCTTATCACTAAAAGCAGCAAAGTATCTTCTTGTACCTTGAAGCATAACAAAAAAAGTATTATGGCATAAGCTTACTCGAATCGTAACCCCTTACAGTCATTGCACTGGGACTCTGGTCTCTTAAATCAAGGGAGTTTCGACTCTAGCCTGGAGAGCAACAGTTCCCTATTGGAACATAGGCTATTTTGTGGGTCTCACACATGAAAGGAATGCCTCAGTGGGCCCTGGGGAGAAGGAAAGGTCATGAATATTCAGTCCTGCAGTCTCATAAAAATGTTTCAAAGATGAAGAATGAGATCTTACAGTTATTTACACAATTCATATTTTGACATTACACTTTACCAGGTCGCAGGTGAATTATCCACACTCTTCTTTGTTCCATGTCCTTTATTCTTGACGTTCTTTGTGGGGCATTCTTTCTAAGGGTAGATCTTACAAATATGAAGTTAGCAAAAATAAAATCAATATGTGAAGAACATATTTTTTAAAGAATCAACACCCGTAGTTTTCCCCAAACACCAATATGTCTGATCAAAACCATAAGTAATTTATGCTATGGTTTGATAAATTCCAGATTTGCAAAATGTTACCCCTTGGGAAGAGTTAACCTTGAAACATATCACAGGGTGAGGTGGGGGAGAAAGAAAAGAGGCTTGCTGGCACTGCACTGCTAGTCAGAGAGTCCCAAATTGTGCCTTGCTGTACACCACGACATACCTTTAGGGGCAGCTTTTGTCTGTTTTTTAACAGCTGACTCTGGGGGCTGTCAAATAAAGTAATGGAAAAAAATCTGAGAAGTAGGAAAAATGGTTAGTGGAAGATAAATAAATAAATAAAGCCATCGATGCATGGAAAACAAATAACCCAGCTTTGTCTTTTTCTTGGGGTCTGAGGTATCTCTAAAATGCTTCCATGTAGTGTGTTTATTTTTCCTCAGATAATAACATTAAAATGTGTCTAATTCAATTATTCCCCACTGCATCTGAATGAGTTTCCCAAGACTAGTCCAAGCTATGAGTTTCATATGATATTTGAACAGATTCTTTTAATTGCTGATATTAAGTGTCGATCATTTTGCTGTAACTTGGCAGCATGGCTGGAGATACACATTCCTCTCTCCTGTATATCAGGCTGTCATTCAATTAACAATCAAAGGTTTATTGATACAGCAGGAGTTCATTATGTGAAATACTGGGAAAAAAAGAAAGACAATCCGTTTAATTCTGATGAAAAGGGGGAAGAAATCCAAGAATATGTTTGTGAGAGGCTAGCCCTAATTGTAAGAGTCATCAACTCATTTAATTTACAAGAAACAGTTTTTAAAGATATTAAAGAAAAATTGATGAAATTTAAGTTGTAGCTTTGTAAACATGAAAACAATTCAATCCCCAGTTCCAATTTTTCCAGATTTCTGACTTTATTTTGTATTAAATGTGTTGGATTTTAAGAGATTTTTTATGAAATATACTGCATACACAGTTTCCAAGGCATGCTCTGTTCAAGTCTAATCTGAAAGTAAGTTCTTCCTCAAGGGTTTAAGTAGTAATTTATAAAATGGAAAGAATAATAAATATTGTGCCTTAACTCATACACTAGCATAGATAGACAGATTTTGTACACCTGGGTGTAATTTTAGTTAATTCACACAAGAGACAGGTTGAAAGTTTACTGTTTAGATAGGAGAAAATGGCTTAAATCTCATATTTGCAAAAATGATTACATTACCTTAAATGAAAATGCTATTCTATTAGGTACTTCAATAAGCATTGCATTTAGAAAAGTATTTTAATAAAAAAAAGTTGTCTGAAGTTCCACACAACTTAAAATACATAAGTGAGAGAAAAGTACTTACTTTGATTTAGATGTCTTTTGGAGCCGTAATTATTGGCTTTTTACTCACCTATGTAAAACAATATACTTTGGTAAATGGATTTCTGGCCACTTTAATCCATTTTTTCTTTCTTTCTCTCTTTTTTTAACATAAAAAGTAAGCACAGTCAATCAAAGAATTTTAAGGTTTATTTCCTCTTTAGAAATGATTGATAGCCTTTTAGATTTACAAGCTGACAAGTTAAAGGGTGCTATTGGTATAATTATGTACTATATTCACAGTCTTTCAATTTAAATGTCCTTTTAAAACCATGAGATTATCATACCTGTATTTTGAAAAGTAGGCCAGTCAGTTTGGGTTGGTACACAAATTGCTTCCATTAGCCTTGGGACCTATTTGAATTTAATATAGTTTTTTAAAGTCGGTAGTACTTTCAATGTACTTTTGAAATTTAGGGTAATGGGAATGCATTTTAACTACAGTATGTGCTAACTTTGTTTTAATGTATGGATGGATGACAGAAACACAAATACTTACTGTTGCTCAGTCTAAAAGTTTTAAAAAATCTTATTGATATTTTTCTCCAGCTATGGGAAAAAAACATTTTATAGTAGGACATTGGGGAATGAAGGAACACATTTGCTGTATGGTGGAGGAGGTTGCATTCAATCCATCTCTCATTAAAAACAATAGCAAAAAAGTTCCAAGACGGTATAAATGAATCCATTTATTCACCTTTATAAAGTAACAAATTAATCCAGACTTGCACCAAAGTAATTGTGAAAAGGATCCCATTTATGTGTGACTTGAGCAAGAGGAGGGTTGGTGTTCAGATCAGTACAGATATCTACTTGCTTATAAAAACACAAGTTTAATTTAGATTGCAGATTTCTAGTTTAAATTTAAAACAGAGCAGCACCTGATAGAACCTGTACAAAGGATAAATTATGCTCTGGACCGCAGCTTATCATATTTTTAAATGACAGAAGATAGCAGGAAAATGGTACCTTCTGGGGATTCTACTACTTGAAACAGTCTGCTTTATTTCGCTTCATGACAAAGCTGGTCCTGAATTATCATTTAGCATTACCATGCCCCAAAATACAGGTAAGCTATCACAGAAGATATACTAGAGTTGGTGAAATATAAAATGTGACATTATTGCACATCTGATCTTTCTTTATTCATTTTATTTTTAGTGTTCCCTTTATTATTAGATGGCATAAGAAAAACATTTCGTTCTTTACAGAAGTTGAGCAAGCAACTCCGTCATTTGGGCCAGTAGTCTTCAGGTCTGCAGTATTAGGGCCACGCCAAATAGTTTGCAGTAGGATGTCTTTGGGAAGTTGATGTCTTCTGCTGACTGTTTAATTAATCTTACAGATTTGGTTTTATTACATGTAAGCTGTTGTAAGCCATCCTATGGTGGGGAGGGATGCAGAATATAAGCTTTATAAATAAATAAATAAATAAATAAATATTAACCCAGTGTTTTTTCCTTATCTTCAGTTTGCCTTTCCCTAAAATGTAGCTATTTACACCACTGATCAGTATTATTACTTTTAACTATTTGGCAGAATGTGTCCACCATCTGGCAAGGTTGTTCTACCAATGGAGACATATGCAACAGCAAATGGGTACATTCAGTCATGTTTATTTATTTATTTACTTATTCGATACTCATTCTGGTTGTTCATATGGCTGTATTTCATGTTAGTTTCACTTGGGACAGAATCCTTTCTTTATTTCTCTTCTTAAAAGCAGATCATGCACTTCACAAGGAAAATATATACACAGCTCTGTTTATAAGTGGGATCAAATGCATAATAGAACCTGTAAGTGTGAGAGAATCTTCTTTTTCTTCTCTCCATGATCAAAAAGGATTCCTTCTAACAACATAACAATGGAAAACATGAAAAGCAGGGTGCAAAGCATTTACCAAATTAATTTCCTCAAACCATGCAGGGTTATAATTGTTTCTTACTTAAAAGCTATTGATAAAAACCAAAACTTGCTGCCATCTTGTCACAGATACTCAACCAAAGCTTCACATCTAACCTCAAACAGTGTTTGAACCATAGCTTCACAGTCACTGCTGATTTAAGTAGAAAAGAGCAAGGGGAAGATTTGCTGTGATAGTTTCCAGATATTCAAAAGCATTGCCATTTATTTAATACCGTCTCCAAAGGAGTGCCTTGCCTTACTGCTTATTGTATAATTATTGTGTTTGTTGTTTCAGCTCTGAATGAACCCACAATTGACTATGGTTTCCAAAGGTTACAGAAAGTCATCCCAAGGCATCCTGGTGACCCTGAACGCTTGCCAAAGGTCAGCAAACAGTGGTGTGTGTGTGCGAAACTTTAAATGACTAAGTTTATAAGAGCATTATTTTGTTTGGACTACCCAGACAACAGGCAAAGAGCATTAATGCATGGAGAAGTGGGGCATGAGTGTCTGAGTGTCTCTGTACTCAGTTGTTCTGTGCAAGCTTTATATGTATATACTCTCTGCATGCTGCACTTTTAGCATGACAAATATTATGCTAACCAAACCTAGATGTTTTCAGGTGTGTAAGCTTTGCAGACAGTCCAATCAGTACCTGGAAATCAAGAGGTAGAGACAAGATACAATCTTACATTCCCTCCATGCATTGATTATGAGATGATTGATTGTCTGAAAAATAATTTGCGAGCATGTTGTTCATTTTTAAAAAGCGAAATGGTACAAGTATAACTCACTGCAGATGAACTGATTATGGAATATGTTGCCTTATAGGGTTCCTTGAGCCCTTCCCTCAGTCCTTTCTGCCACTTGAATGAAACTTTCCTAGCCTGGGGAAGCTTTTGCTTGCTGGGCACTAGAGGCTTTACTCCATGCATCCTGGTTAGAGCTTTTATCTGCTGTGCCTGTTTCCATTAGTTTTGTTTTATCATGGGATTGTGGTATAGATTTTAATATATTGCAAGCTGCTCTGCATATTGTGAATGCATTAGAAGAGTTGGGTATGAATCCTTGAATAACTAATCAATAGCTATGTAATCTGGGGATAATGAATGTGAGATTACACCATCATCCCTCTTTTTGGCTTCCACATGTTCATTAGCTCCTCTAGGTAGAACCTAGATATGTAAAAGCTAACTGCATAATCTGTACCCTGAACAAATAAAGGGTACTGAACATGGAAAGAGAACGTGTGGCTTTGCCTGTAAAATTAAAGTCTGGTGGATCATTATAGGAATGGTCTACACTGAGTCCTGGGCATGTGTTCTCCCCCTTTCCTTTTCCCACACAGGAAATTGGAAGTTTTGGCTTCCATTTTTAACCAATTGCATTTTCTATTAAATCTGAATCCTAAACTGCGAATACTCTTAACTGTGGTTTTGTAAGAAGCTGGTTTTATAAGCCAAGGTAGGATGTTGGCTTTTTTTCAATAACCCATAGTTAAGACTAACCACAGTTTGTCTAGATTCAAACAGCAAAAAGCTGTGCACAATCCAAAATGGAAACGAAAGCTTCCAGTCTCCTCACAGTAGCACTGGAAGACAAGAACGCAGTCTGATTCAAGCCCTTTCACCTGTGTGTTACAAATGCCAAAGGACTTTGAATGGGCCATTTTTTCCCAACCCCTGGCACTGTTTGCTTTGGTGGTATGCTTTTGAGAGCAATTAGAATAGTCACAAGATCTGAGCACAGATTCCTAGTAATAGTTGTGTATTTCAGTTTACTTTGCTTTGAAGGCCTTTTCACCCATGGCATTTTACCTGTGTTTCTGCTGTAAGCATCTTTAGCCTGTGGGGCAGAAACAGCATTTCTCTCATAATCAATAACAATGGTACTCGTCCGTTTTTCCATATGTGCACATACTGAGAAGCTCTGCTAAACTGGCATTTAGGTCATGCTCATCTATGAGCATTTGAAGCTGAATGAAGTGGTAAAAATGTTGGAAGGCAAATTAACCCTTAAGAACTCAGGAGGAAAGGTGTAATGATATCTCCAACTCCAGTACAGATCCTGGCATTCTAGAACTGCTGACAGACAATGGTAAAATAAAGTAAAATGCAACAACCTACCCTGTCTTAGGACTGCTTCTTATGTTTCAAAACATTCTTGTTTCTGAACACCCTTGTCTACTGTAATATCTGGAGCTTCTTCTTCAGTTAAAATTTCATTATCTCTGATATTCAGATCTTGCCATGGGTGTTTATACTTTGGATATTCTATTAAAAACAGGAATCTAGAAGTGAACACAGTGTGTGCTTCTGAAAACTCTACTTTTATGCAATGTCTGAATAAGCCATCATTTTCAAGGTATATAATTTTCATAGGTTTTCTCACTTCTTCTCTGTTCTAAAGGTAATATTAGTCACATTAGGTGTAAATAACTGGTGTGCTTCCACCTTTGATTCCATATGTATGCTGGATTTGACAATAATGATATGTTGTTAATAAATAAATTGTATTTTTTTAGATCTTGTTGTAAACAGCCGAGAACTTCAGCTATTGGCAGTATAGAAATGAAATTAATAATCATCATAATAATATAATAAATGCTGCTGTTTAAAACAGCAGTTTGGAACCTGTGACTGTCCAGATGTTGTCAGACTCCAAATTTCATCAGCCCCAGCTCACATGGTGAAATTGTAAAGGATGGTGGAAACTGAAATACAACATCGGAGAACCATAGGTTCCACGATGCTGATGTAGAATAATGTGTAGTTGTAGGCTCCCATGGAAAAACATGATGTTTTATGTAATCAGATGCCAAAGTAAGTATGGAATTTAATTATATAAAACATTTAATTATTCTCTGGACCTGGAATCTGATGAGAATTCCAGTATGACTGTAAAAGTACTTCAACAAGAAGATGCTAGAAAATACCAGAATATCAATAAACATGAAAATGAGAAAGCATTCATTGAAATAATGGATGTATGTACACCATGTTTATGTTGCCTTGCTATAAAATTTTGTTGAAGAAAAATAAAGTGGAAAATGGTTCGTGCAGCATTTCTCATGGAGCCTGAACTGGGTTATTATTGACAATGGAAATAACCTGGTTATTGATCCACTGTATAATGAATCCACAAACAAGTGAACATGCACTTCTGTTATATTTCTATAATGAACACACATTAAGAATTTGAAGTTGGATCTGAAGTTCAAGACTCATTAATATCATACAGCACAGGTGAGCACCTGTCAGCTTCTGCAATTTGACACTAATGACTGAATTCCTATAATTTGTTGGCTGTAGAAGAATAATAACAACAGAAGTTACGGGTATACATTGCAGGAAAAAGCCTAGCTTGTTAAGTTGGATAGTTGATTGGTATGGTTTGATGACTTCCATGATGGCAAAATAGTTTGGAGAGTAATCAATTTCTAAAGATTCAAAAGATTATAAAAGTTTGTAATCTTTTAGAAGGCACCGATTAAAATAGGCTGTCATTGTTTCTAGAATATGTAGTTGTTTGGCCTTATGTCATTAGTTCTTGCTATTTGGTGGCCTGAAGAAAGAAGAATTATGGGAAAGGTTGTACACCAAAGTGAAATATTAAGATGATGTGTGGAGCACAAACACAATTATCTTTTCTGTTACAATGTTAATACTAGCACAGTATTAGTAAATGTTGAAAGGATTTCTAAAATTCATTTATGTACTGTTTTACATTGACACCCTGCCTATTTCACTTTTGCAAGAAATCCAGGGTGGCTTTTATGATCTTCCTGTTTTCCATGTTCTCCTTGCAACAGCCCTATGAGGTGGATTAGGCTGAGAGTCAGTGACTGACCCATAGGCATCCCGTGAGCTTCGTGGCCAATTGGGGGATTAGAAATCCAGTTCTCTCAAGTTCCAGGTCAACACTCTAACCATTGTATCTTACTGGTTTTCACCAGTGTTCTTAAGAAAAAATGAGACATGGCCCAAGTGAATAGCTAAAAGAAAAGAAAAAGAAACATCAGCCTTTCTAAAACCCTGTCACTCAGTTTCAAACTGCATGGATGTCATTTCATCCAGTTCTGTTCTTATATGTTCTTGCTTGCATGACCCTGTTCTTTACTCCTTAGTAAAGGAGCTGAACAAGTGCTAGTTCTCAGGATACCTTTAACAGTGATTTAAAGGATAAATGCATACACACATGATTTAATAATTTAGTAATTGGTTAGAAAGTAGGATCATATCCCTAAATGTCAATTAAATTTTATAAAGTGAGTCTGAGTTTCATGGAGTGCCTACAGTTTTCACCTCTCTGAGCCCAGATACCCAGAGGTGCTCAGCTTGTTAGTGCACAAGGTCCAAAATCAGGGATAATTCTGAAACAATGACATTCTGACAGCTGAAGGTTAGAACCATTTTCACATTGCTGGCAAAGAACTCTTTTCTTTTTGAAGGTCAGCAGAAATATGTATATATTCCCGTGCATTTTCTAAGTGGGTCAGTGTTTACTCAGCAAATGATTAGAGCAGATGGTGTAATTTAGAATCCATGGTAAAACTTTACTCTATGAAGGAGAGCAAGCATGGCATAGATGCTTTCCTATATTGTATGTACTTTTACAATGCTCCCCTAAAGACAAAAAACCTTGGGCCTATTGATGTGTGTTGTTGGTCTTGTAAAAGCAATTGAGAAGATATTCTGGGAGCTAATGCTCCATGCCATTAGATGTAGCACAAGCTTGGTGCTCATTGTGGTCTCCTGGCTTTCCTTCAGCACAGTTGCCATGCCAGCATAGCTCCGTACATGAGTACTAAAACTTTTCATAGGATGACACTTAATCATATGAGGGGCCATCACATAGTAGTGGGGTGCATGCATTACATCCAGGAGGTCCCAGGTTTGACCCCTGGCATCTCCAGGTTGGGCTGAGAACCACCCCTGGCCAGTGTTGACGGTGCTTGTCTAGAAGGACCAAGGTCTAGAAGGTCTGACTTTGTGTAAGGTGTTCTGAGCTAGTCCCTTTCCTCCTTATGATGCCTTATGTTGATTCAGACCATCGTTCAGTACTGGCTACACAGACTGGCAGCTGTTATCCATGTTTTCAGGAAGGGCCTTTCCCAGCTTTATCTAGAAATGCTGGAGGGGGGCAAATCTGGAATCTTTTGCATGCAATGCGTGTGTTTTTCCCTGTGCTCCAGCCCTTCCCCTCAGCTGAACTGACTATTCATTCAGCTACACTGACTTTTAATTTTATATGTTTCTATGTACACACAACGAAATGATGAAGGAAATGGAAAGATACTAATCCTATAAACAAGGAGCAATAGTGATTTTGGAGATGTGTGTGTGTGTATGCCACAGTTTTGAAGAAAGCAACAAAGGCTGCAT